ACCCCCCCCACCCCCGCCCCAGGTCACATGGGCCTCTCAGACCCGGCGTCCAGTCGTCCTAGTGCCCCTCCTCTCCAGGTTGTCCAGGGCTGACACCCTCAGCCTCCACATGGAGCCCGTTGGGGTGGCCTCGTGAGAATAGCGATGGCTTCTGCTCTGCCCTCGTCCCCCTCAGACTGAGATTCTCGTCCAGGGCCAGAGCGCTGCTTTTCCAATCAGATCGGAGGGCTGCTCTTCTGGAATCCTCCAGGGCTCCCACTGCACTCAGATGAGAGGTGAGGGCCTGGGGTGGCCTGTGGGTGACATAGTCGGCGGACCCCGCCTGTGGCCCCGACCCTGCCCGTGGCCCCGCGCCCATTCACAGAGGAACTGGTGTCACAGGGGCCCCGACTGCCCTGTGGTCCTGCCTGGGGTCTCTCCCTGGAGGTTGTCTCTGCCTGGAGGCTCTGTCCCCAGATCTCCTCGTGGCTCCCTGCGGGGTCGGTGGTGCCCCAGTCTGCGGGGAGCACAGGGAGCGGGTCGGCGTACCCCAGCCCGTGGGGAACACTTTCTGATGCTGCTCCCGGTCAGAGAGCCAGCCCGGTCCAGCCAGCTGAGGGAACCCGGCTGAGGCCCTCCAGGCTCCACTGCGAGGCCTCCGGGTTTGGAGCTTCTCTCTGCAGCTTTGATAACGGCTCTGCTGTTTCCCGGAGTCTGCCTGTGACTCCTCACCGGCCTGAGACTGGAATCCAGTCCCCTCGCGGTCCCCAACCGTCCTTGGTGTTGGGCCCAGTCACCCGTGTCCCGCTTCAAAGAACATTACCGGCTCCCTGCTGAGTCCCACATCCTCAATAAACTCGTCCTGCCTTTCAAGCCTCCTTTAACCCAGCTCAACACTTTATTCCCAGAAGGCCGCCCCTCCGCCCACGCCTGGCCACCGCCCGCCCACGCCCGACGCGGTGTCCCCTATCATCACCCTCCCACCCTCGGCCCAGGTCAAGCCTCTTTCATGTCGGCGTCCACCGCCTGAGGCCCCGTGGTACCGGTCCTACTCTGTCATCACCAGCGCTTCCTTGAGGACCTTCACGCGTTCACTGGACACTCAGGCGCCTGTGGGGCAGGGATGCAGGTGCAGGGCGATCAGGCCCACACTCCCAGTGAGTCCCGGCTCTTGCCCCCAATTCAGGAGGAGCTAGGGACGGGGACACAGGGGGAGGCTTCTGAAGGAGGAGGGAGATCAGGGCTCCCCAGGAGGGAGGGTCCCCGAGAACGGGTGGCCCAGGAGGAACCGGGGCACGGGGTCTCTGCTGGGTCGGAGGGCTCGTTGGGCTCAGGGCTCCCACGTGTGCTCGGTGTGTGCTGGATGGGCCCAGTTATTCTAATTTTGGGGTGGTACCGAGGTCAGGAGACTCTCGGTCTAGAAGCGTGGGCCGTAAGGACCAGGATGTCGCCCGTCCTGGAAGGTGGGGGCCCGGACAGGCCTTGTCCCGCACAGAGGGAAAGAACATTTTACCGGGAGACAGAGCTGGGGCAGAGAGAATCCGGGAAACCTAACCTTACTGAGCGGCTTTTCCACAATTACTACTCTTTGTTCAACCTAGCACGTGAGCATTTAGGCCTAACCTCACCTCGCTTCTGTGAGGACTCCGGGCACGTGCAACAGTGTTCAATAAAGTTGGCGTCCTCCTGTTACTCTGGCTCAGGACAGCTGAATTCTCAGGCTTGGCCAGAGACCCTGGCAGGCTGGAGGTGACGTTTCGCCTCCCCGGTAATAAACTCCTTGAAGACAGGGGTCCCCCTCCCCCGGCTCTACCCCAAGTCAGCGAGCCCGCGGGCTCAGGGTGCGGGAGGACGGTGGTCAGCAACGCGCCCACAAGCTCGGGGGGCAGCCGCAGAACCAGAGGGCGCGGAGCCAGGCGAGGCGGGCACGTGTGACTCCAGGGCTGCGGAGGCCCCGTCCGAAGTGGCAGAGCTGAGTTCCCGGTGACTTTCCTCCCTGCCGGCTCCCCGAGCTGCTCGGCGGTCGGTCCGGTCCTTGCCGCAGCGTCGGGGACGGCCCTGTCCCTGCGCGTGCTTCCGGCTGCGCTGCGGATTCCATTCGGCCCCGTACATTTTTACAAGGAAACTTAAAAACCGCTTTTCAAAAACTAGAAACGGAGCACTGAGCCCTCCGCCAAGCTCTGACGGTGTCACTCGGCCCCTGGGGCGGGTGGAGGTCAGAGCGCGAGGACGAAAGCCGGGCGGTGCCTCCCCGGCCGACCTCGGGCGGCGCTGCAGCTCCGGGGCTCCCGAGGCCCCGCCCACGCGGGCCCGCCCTCGATGACGTCACAGGGCCCCGAAGCCACGCCCCAGCCCAACCGGCCTGCACCTGCGCACGCGGACGCCGGCG